AAATGCCCCCCAACACCTACCTGGAGACCAATGATACCCTGACCAGCTCTCAGCTGCTCCTCGGTGAACTCCACGATGTGCTTCTCGCTGGGCTTGGGCCCGCAGGTATCGCCCTGGAATCCGTGGCGCTGGGCCTGTCGCGAGATTCATGTATCGTGTTATCAACCGTTTTACGGCACTTAAAGCACAATCAGGTCAAATAAGTGTGGAAGATTCGAGGTGTTACTAGAGTTTTACCGCACTTGCAACATAAACAGGTCACATAAGTGTGGAAGATTAGAGGTGTTACTAGAGTTTTAAGGCACTTGCAACATAAACAGGTCACATAAGTACCGAAGATTTGAGATGTTACTAGAGTGTAATATACAAACAATAGAAGGATTCATGTGACTTAGCCTGGTTTCTTTTTTTTTACTTGAGCCCTTCATTTTCAATTCCACTATATTCATTTGAATTCGATTACAAGTATCGATACATCAATCTTATTACTATGATTGATACCCAAGTTCCATTTCAATCATCGATACGCTAGTTCCATCACAATAATCAATACTATAAACATCTATACCCGAGCTCCATTACAACCATTGGTATTACAATGATCGATACACCAACTCTATTACAATCATTGATAGGCGAGTTCCATGACAGTCATTAATATTCCATCCCAATAATCGAGATTACAATCATTAACATTCATCAGCTCCATTACAATTATTAACATTCCTCTATAATCAAATTACATTCCACTACAATAAAAATACGTTCCCTTACAATCTGTCCGGCCATACCTCAGTTCCCAGCTGCAGGATTGTGGAGATGACCATGGCCATGTTGCGTCCGTCGAAAAGATCAGCGGTGGGGAAGAGACTGTTGCTTGGCACGCCGTATGCCTCAGCTCCCTTCAGGAAGATCTCGATGTTCTCCATCTGGATGGACAGATGGACAGACACACGGGTGAGTAAGAGAAGGATAGACAAATGCATGGGTTGTGGGTGGGAGTAGCGGTGGGGGAAGGGTGGGGGGACAGGGGGGATGTACGCAAGCATTTCGTTGACCAGCTGACATCGTTGACATTTTGAATTGTTTAAATTGCAATTTCTTAATCTGTGGTATTGGTTGCATGTGCTCTAGAAATGATTTTTTCGAAATTCAGATTCTAAATGTTGAAAAAGACAATTCGAGATACGCAAAAAAAGGAAACGTTGTTTAAAGAACTTTTAACACTACAGAAATAAAATGCTGTCTGGGTTTAGAACATTTGGACAGCTTGCCAACGATATACAAGCAAACACCACCACAGGCCGGTGTGTTTTGTATTTATATATATATTTGTTCTTAACATTCTTGTAGATGTCTGGTTGTTTCTATCGCCCCAGATCCCCTTTCTCTCTTTCTCTCTCTCTCTCTCTCTCTCTCTCTCTCTCTCTCTCTCTCTCTCTCTCTCTCTCTCTCTCTTGGGGCTAGCTTGGTGT